TAAATAAAATAAAGAGCATATAAGTGTAATTTCACACATTTTTTTACTGAAATACACACAGACATACATACTGACATACACACACACACAGACATACATACTGACATACACACACACACACACACAGACATATATACATACTGACATACACACAGACATACATATATACTGACACACACACAGACATATATACATACTGACACACACACACACACACACAGACAAACGTACTGACATACACACACAGACATACATACTGACATACACACACACACAGACATACTGACTGAAATGGAAAAATCAATCAATGAATTGATTATTTCTTTGTGTATCTGCCCCTGGCCAAATTAATGAAACAATGCGTGCACGCTCCCTGAAGTAATTCACACCAGACACAGGTTCCAGGTTGTTGAATAACTTGAGGAATGTTTATTCAGAGGGGACGGCAGGTCCCTTTTAAAGCAAAATTACATCATAAGCATTGTCAGAGATAACATGGAATAATACATCAATAATTGGTTAGGTGTTAAGTGGTCTTCCTAATGCTCTGCCTACTAAGGGTGATGTCACCGGGACCATGAGGGTCTCCCACGGTTTCCCGGCGCCATCTTGCTGCACGAGGTAGTTAGTCGGTGTTAAAGGGGAGGAGAGGAGGGGTTAGAAGCTTCTAGCAGCCATCTTGGTTAAAATATGTGTGTATAGCTTTATAATGTATATCGTGGAATGAGTAAATAGACATTTTCACTAACTAGGAAATATGTGCAGACCTTATTTCCACAACACTGACATACACACACACAGACATATATACATACTGACATACACACGCACACAGACATATATACATACTGACATACACACAGACATACATACCCACATACATACTGACACAGACATATATACATATTGACATACACACACACACAGACATATATACATACTGACATACACACAGACATACATACACACATACATACTGACACACACAGAGACATATATACATACTGACATACACAGACTGCCTCCCTCCCTGCCCAAAGAGTCCAAACAGCAGCCCCACTGGACCCCAGGTAAAAAATCCACCCAGCTCTCCCAAAGGTAGGGAGGCTGAGTGGATTTAAATTAAAATGTAAAAATAATCTGTGAGGGTTGGGGTGAAATGTGTGTGTGTCTGGCCGTCAGTGTGTGTTTGTGTGGCTGGTTGTCAGTGTGTGTGTGTGTGTGTGTATTGCTGTCAGTGTGTCTGTGTGTGTATATCGGTCAGTGTGTGTGAGTGTGTGCAGCAATGTATTTGCCTTGGGCGGCACTTTCCAGGGGGCGGCAAACAATGACGCCCCCAAATGCCCAGGCAAACGCCTTGTTAACCTGGTGGCAGGTGACTAGCTGAACTCCAGGTGGACGGCGAGGGAGTCATATTTCGGCTCCCGCATCACTCTGCGGCGCGCGAGGGAACTGATTGTGTGTGTATGTCAGTGAGTGTGTGTGTGTCTGTCAGATTGTGTCAAATCAGTGTGGGTATATGTCAGTGTATCTGAGAGTGTGTGACTGTCAGTCAAAGTCTGTGTTAGTCTTTAACAGGAAGAGGTGTGGCATTGACAGGAAGGGGTGGGGCAAATGTAAATTCGGGGGTGCCCGAATTCCATCATGCTTAGGGCAGCACAGATCCAAAATACACCACTGATTGTAGCACATCATGGGAAAAGTGAGCGTCCAGTATAGACTCAAACTCCTCCTGTCCCTCCACAATTATAGAAATCAATGCATCTCTGTAAGGAACATTCAGTGTCTCTATGCAGAGTGTGGAGACACTGTACATCAATGCTGCACACTGTGCAGCACTAAACCAGGAAGCAGCTCTAGTGGCCGTCTGAGTGACTGGAGGTGTTCCTAGAAAGAAATGTAAACACTGCACTTTCTCTAAAACGGCAGTGTTTACATGAAAATGCCTGCAGGGACTGACTATGCACACCATAACAACTACATTAAGCTATAGTGTCCCTTTAAGATTACTGTAAGAAAATGATTTTCAGTTCTGAAGACCCTCGTATACGATAAAACAAAATGCCATGAACTTCAATTTAGAGATCTCTGCTTTTACCTAAACCCTTATGCAACACTGGGGGAGCCCCAAATGAACGACACCAAACACACAGTTCATAAAGTACTGCCCAATGTTTTAATGCGTAGCAACATAATAAAGTGTATTCATGTCTAGGGGTGTCCAGTAACTTTGTACCAATCAAAAGTTAACACATTTTCAAAGCACTACATCTTGCGGACCATAAATCTAGCCCATCATTCCCTAACTGGCATTACTTTATCTCTCTTAGAAGCAGTGATTTCTCAGTTATTAGCTGCGTAGCCAAAAATTAATTTGCTGGGAAAAAAACAGAAAATACGAATGTCCTTGAAATGTTACAGCCAGTTAGTAAAGCATAAAACAAAGGAAGGGACTATTACCTAAACATAGCTATATCAAAAGGTAAAAAAATCTATTAAATCAATTACTTTCACAAACCGGTCCTCTATATATTTACACAGCAATGACATTACCTGAAGTTGCAAAAGGTGAAGGGTACAGTTATCCAGCTTTCAGATAAAATAATCACAAAGTGATTACTGTCTCACATTTTTCTTAGACACAGACGAATGTAAGACACCACCTAAAGAAATTCTGTAAAGTAATTACATGATATAAATATTCAACATTTAGTATGTTCATAGTTTCCAAGTACATCTCAGGGGTATTTACAGGGCCGGATTAACATAGGGACTGATGGAGCTGCAGCTCCAGGCCCATGCCTATGGAATAGGCTAGGCTGGAAATCACAACAGGGTCTGGAAACCCTTACGCTGCCATGGACTTATGCACTAACACGTTTCTGCTTTCCTTTGTCTCTATAATCAGCTGCTGGGAATACTCAATGAAGTCACACCACTCAGATGTAGTGTCAATAAGCATTCAAAAGTTTAAAGGATCACTATAGTGACAGGAAAACAAAGCGGTTTTCCCAACACTATAGTGCCCTGAGGGTGCCCCCACCCTCAGGGTCCCCCTCCTGTGGCACTGAAGGGGTTAAAAGTCCTTCAGGAGCTTAACTTAATCCAGCGCCAAGGGAACTGGTGACCTCTCCTCCCACTCCGACGTCAGCTCCCCTGTCCGAGCATTCAAAGTGTCCATAGGAAAGCATTTCTCAATGCTTTCCTATGGACGCTCTGCACGATGGAGGCGAAATGTGCCTCCAGCGTCGCAGATGCGCCTCTAGTGGTTGTCCGGAAGACAGCCACTAGAAGATGGATTAACCCCAAATGTAAACATAGCAGTTTCTCTGAAACTGCTATGTTTGCATCAGAAGGGTTAAAATCTGAGGGACCTGGCACCCAGACCACTTTATTGAGCTGAAGTGGTCTGGGTGACTATAGTGTCCCTTTAATGCATAGTACATTTTATATATAAAACACTTTATGTCTAGGGGTGTATACATTAACGGAAACATTAACCAATCATGGGAATCTCATAACCGAAAGTATAACTTTTCATATAACATTTAGTAATGCTGTTAGTCTCTTGTTCAATGATGCAAGTGACAGTATGAGATTAGTAACCCAATTAAAAATTGCAGGTGCTAGAAAGAATACTATTTTTTCAAGTGCAGGATGTTTATAAAAGATAGCAAAAGCTGGTGTCAGGCGCTAAAACACAAGAACAGAAAAATATTGTATGTTTAAAAAATGCGAGTTTAACCCTTTTTAAAGCATGGGTATCTTGTATTATAATCAGGTCTACTGACCATTTGGTCTTTGAAGCTATGTATACAGTAATAATTTAGCTACATAATAAGAAATACAGAAGTAGAAAGCAGGACATAAGACTGACACCCTGTAACATAAAATATATAGCTCTGTAAGTCTAGGGGAATATTCACTAAGCATTGCATATGTAAAACAATTTGTTTTCCAACAGGAAGTATTACTTTTTTAGTGTTTTCTGTCGATTATATTCTGTAATCAGGGCCATCATAATTGTCAGCACCAAGCCCAATTGGCTCTTAATCCAGCCCTGGATATATATGTTATAGTTTAAGGGTGCTCGTTAGTGATGTTCCGAACGGTTCGCCGCGGACGGCGAACGTATGCGGTAAACTTTGACCCTGTACCTCACAGTCAGCAGACACATTCCAGCCAATCAGCAGCAGACCCTCCCTCCCAGACCCTCCCACCTCCTGGACAGCATCCATTTTACATTCATTGTGAAGCTGCATTCTTAGTGAGCTGTCCAGGAGGTGGGAGGGTCTGGGAGGGAGGGTCTGCTGCTGATTGGCTGGAATGTGTCTGCTGACTGTGAGGTACAGGGTCAAAGTTTACCGCATATGTTCGCCGTCCGTGGCGAACCGTTCGGGACATCAGTAGTGCTCGTTTTTTGTCAACCTAAGAAGGATGATAGGCTGATTTGACCTTACCTGGAATCAAAGATGGAATTACAAAATACTGCAACTGGAATATTAGGATTAGAGTGATTTAATAGTTGTACGGTTTATATTGGAGAGTGTTTATGATTATGAGGTGTTTATTGGGTCTAATAGTTAGGGTTGAGGAATTATTAGTATCAAGAGTTTTTAGGATTATGAAGGATTTCACTACTGGATATCTGTCAACTATATCTGTTATATAGGAATATTATCCTTTAGTTTATTAAAACAAGGTTATGGTATTGAGGGTGGTGTGTGTGTATTTTTTTTTTTTTTAAGTACTATTTTATTTTTTATTTATTTAATAATTTTAGGTTTTCTTATTTTGTAGCGAAGAGTATTGTGACCTGCACAGGGCTGCTTTGTTACACGGTCTGGTTGTTTATGTCTGGCTCACCCTGCCTCACCCTACTCCTAACCTTCAAGTGTTACGTCACAACGGGAAGGAGAATCCTGCCAGGTTGTCAAGGAGACGCGTCCTGCTCAGATTCCACGTGTGGTTACAAAGTGTATCTGTATGTACCGGTCGGTGCAGCGATCCAAGGGCGAGCTAACACAAATACAGTCTGATAATAGCTCGCTAAAACCACAAACATTCCACATATCCAGCAACACCAGCGGACAAGGTGCAGGTTAGCTGTACCCCATGGATAGTGAGGGAGACCAGAAGGGCAATGAGAGGCGTACTAAAACTGGCGGCAATCAGGCTGCAAGAACCACACCCGCATCATCAGAAAGGAGTAAGAAGAAAAGCAAGAAAAAAAAACAAAAACCTCAAACACAAAGCAAAAAGAGAGGGCACGCCTCCACCAGCCCATCTACCTGTGAGGAGACTGGTAAGTTCACTGTCTACGAGGGGACTTTATACTTTTTAATGTGTCCTGGACTGTTACAGTATTGTGTATTTATCTCCTACTACACGAATATCCCTGATAATAAATGCATCTTTTCTTTCATTTCAGTGTACTCATTTATATTGTGTGGAAAACAGTTGATTAAACAAATGTAATCTTAGTACACTTTAAGCCAGTGAACTTGGGTTATTGGTTAAAAGTCAGGAATGAATTAGTTGGTGAAGGTTTCCAGATATTTTTAAAAGTAAATATAAGAGTTTGGTTCACTTTCTCTGCTTATTTCCTAGAATGTACCTTTTTGTTGATAAAGTCGATATCTTTCGATATTTTTTTAAAAGAAAAAAAAAAAAGAGGGACAATACAAGTCAAACGTGTAATATAACAAACACTACATAAAAGACAAACCTATACCCACTGTATACATGATAACAGGATAAGGTGAAAGGTTCCAAACAAAAACAGGCTTGCAGAGGAGAGAAGAAAAAGAGTGGAGGTGGGAGAAACCACAGTTAAAATAAGAAAGACAACTCCTTGAGCAAAGTATGGGCTATACAAATCCTCCAATTCCGAATATATCTGCATAGCCCCTCAAAAAACAAATCTAGCTGGTAATATGAGTCTACAGCTATCAATATGATTACAATTGCCAGATTAAACAAATATTTTTATTAATAGCTACCTAGTCATCAAGCTAATCCCAAATCTCCCCACCCTACTCTTTCTCTATGCTATTCACCCCAATCCCTCTTAATATTGTGCAGTTTCCCATATCTTTCCCTTTACTCTATAACTTGAAAGGAATGTTCTGACCTCATTTTAGTTGTTATGAGGGTTGGAGTGTCTAAGCACCATCTTAGCTTGAGAGGTTAATTTGTTTTACAGTGGCTTAACCTTGAAGTTGGGCTTCAGCATTTGGCGCTTCTGCCTTCTGGCTTTCTTTCTATCTGCGGTGCAGTATGACAAAGGCATGACTTTTTTAGTTTATTACTAGGAGCTCCCATTTCTCTTCCCTCTATGACAGTCTTCTCTGTTTTGTACTTATACATATGATGTCATAGATCAGCATTGTGAGCATTGTGACCTCACTAATACTTTACTATAAAACAGCTTGTCTTTTTTTTTTTTTTCTAAACTTTAAAACCCAAGACTATAACACATTTCTCAGCATTGGTAGCTTTGAAATTGGGACGGTTGGGCGGGCTCTTACCGGGGGGAGGTTATTGAAATCCATAATGGGCAAGTCTGCACTGAATAGGCATTTCAGGCTGGCATCAAGCACACCAAGCTGACCAATGTATTCCAACATACAGGACCATGCAGAGAGCACTATTGAAGCTCTTTTTGCATGGGACTAGTGCCCGCTGAACATTGCAAGCTCATCCAACACTGTGCTGCCCAGGGACTGTTTCCTGGAGTCCCAAGTAACTAAATGAGGAGAGTAGGACCGAAGACAAAAAAGGGATTGTCCCTCCAAAAGCAGGAGTTGGGTGCTCTGCTGTCATATATGTTGTTAGGTTGATCATAGCAAGGCTTAACAGGAGCATATACATTTAAAAGATGGTTTGATATCTACCAAGGTGTGTGTAATGATAACAGTTTTAAACCATTCTTAAAGACAAAGGTAAGCCTCCAGCTTAGCCCAAAAACCGTGGAAGAGTGTGTCCAGTCTCCGAAGAGATCTCTGGGTCACGTTGGTTCTGCAAGTGCCACTGCTCCAGAATGGGAAGTACTTTCGTCATTTTATGCTTGTGGTTGCAATCTGAGGCACCTTGATAAAGACCTGGCTACAGGTTGAAACGTTGCAGATCCAATAAAAACTGACTCAAACATATCACAGTGAGTGCCTGAGATTTTTCATTTTTATAGAGATCAGGTAGGTGACAGATTAGCACAGTGGGGACTTGGATAACCACCATTCTTCCCAGAGGGGTGGGGAGATGGAACACTGTAGAATCTAAGTGAGAGGGCATTACATCACGGGGCATGAGATCATCTGCCTATACCGAGCAACATTGTCACTAGGCCTCCATAGGCTCTGCAAGAAAATCAGAAGCCGGTGCCACCTGGTTCTGTTTAATAGGCCAACAAGGTGGGTCACTGATCATGCCAATTGGGGACACAAGTGCCTTATAAATTGCTAAAAGTAGGAGCCAGATGAGGAGCAGCTTCAAGACACGTCCAGCAGACACAAGGCTCAGAAATGCATTATTTTTACTTTATAGATATATACAAAAATGAGGATGCAGCTGCAGATCTACAAAAAAACTAAATAAAACAATAGTGCAACACTGTATAATAAAGTATAAGTGCGCTGTGTAGAATATAACTCACAAGATTGATGAATGGTTAGCGCCCAAGGGTGCCTCCCCTGATGTGGATGGGGGGGCATTAACATTGCTCCTGCTCCAAGGAAGGCGAAATATGACTCAGGATGTGGAGTAAAAAAAAAAGGTTTCTTCTTTATTTAAAAGAATTAAAAGTATAAAGGTACAAATAAGCTGTTTTAGTACCAGGTCCTATGCGTTTCGTCCGATGGACTTCCTCAGTTCATTTGTATTTGTTTTATTGCTGTTACGTATCTGCATACCAGGAGGTACCTGAGGAAGTCCATCGGACGAAACGTGTAGGACCTGGTACTAAAACAGCTTATTTATACCTTTATACTTTTAATTCTTTTAAATAAAGAAGAAACCTTTTTTTACTCCACATCCTGAGTAATATTTTGCCTTCCTTGGAGCAGGAGCAGTGTTAATGCCCCCCCCCCCATCCACATCAGGGGAGGCACCCTTGGGCGCTAACCATTCATCAATCTTATGAGTTATATTCTACACAGCGCACTTATACTTTATTATACAGTGTTGCACTATTGTTTTATTTTGTTTTTTTGTAGATCTATAGCTGCATCCTCATTTTTGTATATATCTATTCTGTATTGGAGGGATTATTGCTGGGATGCCCCTGGAGGAAGCTGTTACCACTGTCTATTGAGATAAGTGCTATATATTCACTTTTTTGTTTTAAGGGCAAAAAGTGTTTGTTCTTTTGTACTATATACATACCATTATTTTTTACTTTAACTGTTTTCCTAAGGTGCATTACATTTTTTTTTTTTTAAACCTAGACTTCCCCTTTAATCACAGATATTTTATTTTGTACGTTTAAACAATAAAGTTCTTTATTTTCCCTTTTGAATAATGCTTGTATATATGCCAACTGTTTAAGTGTGGCATCAAATAAAGTGGTCAAGTGTCACTTTGTATTCTGAAACAAGTTGTAACAAGCTACGTTGCATTGTTCACTCTGCCAAAAGAAGGATTATTAAAGGCAAGTTATGTTTGAAATAACAGGATTATAAATCCAAGTTTGTGTTTTAGATTACCAATGTACTAAAAGATCAAAGTAAAACCATTTATACCTGAATGCAGATATTAGTTGACATTATTGCTTTCTATTGTGTAGGCATTGTGAAATCAACTCTCTATCCAGGAGATCTGTCAGCAATAAATAGTGTAGAAGGACAAAAGTAAAATGTGTCATTGACAATAATTTATAAATGTAGCTGCTTCTGCCTGCCTGTACTTGGATGGACAGCCCATACATTACTCTTTGTGGCACAGGTTGGTTGCAGCTCTGCTATTACATTAAATTACAAGGCAATTCAAAGCACCATGAGCAACACAGTGTGATGTAATGTCTGTGGTACCAGGTGTGCCCTGGCACCCCCTACAAATGTAGTCAAATAATTTGCCGATAGTTTGACTTCTTAACTGGAGTCTTCTGGGCAGCAGACCCTTCCTTTTTGGAGCCGGAAGCTCCTGCCGGGAACTTTTGTTAACTGTCCTGAGCTAAACTCTAAGCTTTAGCTTAAAAGAGATCTCTTCTATTTACATAGTTTACGAAGGTGCAGTTCTACTGATTACAAATATTTCCTTCATTAACATAAAGAGATGCTGATGTTACATATATGTCAAATTTTTCTGACTAACCTTTGATGTTCTGTGAATCAGTTTTATAGCGGATTTGTCACTTTTCAGTATTTTATAAGGATATATTCTTTACGAAATATTGATTAAGACTCCGTCGGAATTTCACTGAAATTCCAACAAAATCCAAAGATACTATGCCCTGTTTCTGTTTAGTAGACTGGTCTGAAACTGTAAATAGTGGGTAAGAGGAAAGAAGTGGCTGAAGAAACTCTCTTGTTGAGAGGCATGCCCAACAATGCAATTTGACCAAGTTTAAAGTACGTTTATTACATACATTTCAAAGTTTTTATTGCATTATTTTGGTATGTATATTTATTTTTTTTAAAGTGTTTGCTTTCTGGTTTAAAACAAATAATTGTAAAGTGATGCATGTTCCTTTAAGGATTGAGGCATTTGTCCAAGTTCTGAATCAATACAGTATCTAGTATTTACCCTATGTGCTTATTAAACTGATCTCAAGTCCCCCTATACATATATAATATGTAAAATATAGGGCTTTCTGATTGTTAAATGCATCTTATATGTATAATCTATATTACCTTATGGTAGTTAACACTAATCCTATATCAACTACCCAAGGCTGTACCAACCCTACCTCTAACCTATGCTTACACTAACTCTAACCACATACCTGCCCTGACTTTAACTCTACACTATGCCTAAACCTAAAACAGCGTTAACCCTTACCATAACACAAACCCCACACCCTACAACTAATGCTACTCTAATCCTACTTCTAACTCTAATGAAACTCTCTGTTATGTTAGTATTGATATTGGCAGGTGTGTTTTCTAGTTAAAAAAGTAGAGAGCTGTATTTTGCCAACAGCTACTGCCCATTTTCAGCATTACACTATGATTGGTGCTGGGCAGCTGGCAAAGCCAAGCACCGATCACAAGAGGCATGGGGGCCATGCTGAGAGATCCTACAGGATATGTTCTCCCTTGAGCACCTGCCAGTCCAGAATCACCACAGCTGACTACAATCTTCTCACGATCTTCTGGATTTAATTTTTTTTACAAACCTGACATCATGCTAATAATGCTGACATCACGTTAAACTGGCATATTTAGGAGGTTGTTTCTCACTGGTTTCAGGACACGTAAAACACTGTCTAGGCATGCATAGTACTGCACTATTTTTAAATATTTTTTTTAACCCTGCTCACACCAGTGGCAGAACTAATGTAGAGAAGGCCCTGGTGCAAGACTTTTTTATGGCACCCCCTCTAGTGTAAGAGTAGCGAAAAGATAGATCTGTCATACAACTCTCACGATGCTATGCCAGCTGGAGATTTACCATTTGCCCATCCTGGCAGGGTTGTATTTGTGGGCACTGTTTGTGCGTTTGAATATAAGCATTCTGAGAGGAAGTGACAGTTTGGCAGACACAGGGGTGGAACTCCTGGCTGCACTGTCGGTAGTTCCACACTTGCCTCATACCACATTACAGCAATAGGCATTTAAATAAATATATAAATGCTGTTGTTAAGTGCTGCATACAATGTATCTATCAATCTGGAGCCACTAAAAATCACTCCAGCTGACAGAGGGCAAACCTAGGTATGGATTGATATCTGAAACACCCTGGTATGAGCAGGGAATTAACCCTTCTCACACCAAAACGCTAGGACTTGTCAAAACGTCCTAACAACATTAAAGCACGGTATAGCTTGGATGTAATGACACATTCTAACGTCATGAAGGGATTCAGGAATGCAATTACACATTTAGATAAAAATAATTAAATTTGCATTAAAGCGATAGTGTCACTTTAAAAAATAAATACAATAAAAAGCTAAACACTAATATGTGCCATTATGGCAAAGCATGTACAAAATACTTTTGTGTAATTACATTCCAATTAATGTGGTTTCCATAAGGAATCATACGCATATTAACAAACATATAAGAAAAAAAAACACTGTGTCTTGTACACGTTACCTACAGTGACCTCAAAGTTAACTAAAAAAGAAAATATATAAAATTTCTAAATGTTGTGTTCTGAAAAGTGGTTTAAAGAAACAAGTGGCATCACCAATGGAATGTGCCTGCTGGTTCCCATGGTGAATGCCCCACTTTAAGTACTTTACAACAGTGTTCAGAATACAAATCTTTTATATGTAACCACTCTTGTTTGCATTATGATCTTACAGTAAACTCCCACTCATAGCAATTTCGGCTCTTTTAAAGCGGCACTGTCACACTTTACTTACCTTTTCCCAATCGCTTCCTATTCTCTTCCTCTTTCCTACTCTGTGTTTCTTTTTTTAATTTTCTATATTTCTATGGACTATTTTGTCTTATGCATTTTTCCTGCGCCCGGCTTTCTAATACATAAGGACGAGCTTAGGTAAGCTTCCCTTCCTGTGTCTATATAAAGTGTTCCGACAATACTCACCTTTCCTCCATATTCTTGCAAAACTTTTTTCGCCCTTTCCAAATGTCCTGTCATGAAGACTAGGGCCCTGACGAAATGATAATTTTGTCCAAGCCGAATGTCAACAGTTTGCTGGACAAAATTTGTACGGAATTAAGTAATTGTTTTTGGTTTGGAATTTAATTTGGAAGAATAACTAAATTACTAGATTGGTACCCTGTGGGATTGCCAGATGCAATCCCACAAGTATTAGGGAGCAATCTACTAAAAAGCTGAAAGACAAAACGTCCTTAATTTTCTTAATTTTGGTCTTTGAGCCAACTTTACTAATATTAAGTAAAAAAAATGCTTAGTATTAGTAAATAAGGGACGGTAAACTCTCCCTCATGTTCCTACTCGCTGTGCTGCGAGTAGGGACATATCTACTAAACAGTGAGCAGCCCGTTCTCTCATATGTACAGTTCACATAAGGGTGATTCTTTGTTTCTCTGTTACAAACTATTGTAATTTTCACACCAGATTTCCATCATTTTTATAACAGATTTTTTGTAACATTCAATTTACAGATAAGACTAGCAGCACCAAGAACCCAACAACACTACCACTTATTCTACAATCCTCTGACTTGCTGTATACAACCTCTTGTGAATCCAGCGTTAAGAACGGAGGTTTAAAGACCGAGAAAGACAACATATCTGTTAGCACTAAATGCTCCCCTGGTGTTCAGAATGTCCCTTTGAATGAAAGTTTGCGGTGGGTAGGCATTCTCGATGATCCAGTAAAAGAAGAGGAAAGAATTCGCCAATACAAAATTAATAGGAGGAAACGTTACTTGTTAGCAGGTCAGCAGAATGCCCATAATTCATCAGAAGTTCCAGCAGTGCCATTGGCAACTAATAATGAGGCTAAAAGAGACAATGCCAATCCTTACTTTTTAGGATATAAAGGACATGGCAGGCCACAACAGCCATCAACAGAGCTTAAATTCCCAGCATTGGTAAACATACTTAAAAATGGCCTATGAAACTGCTTCGATCATAATGGGGTTTAAAATGGCATACAAAACTGCTTAGCCACAGCTAGTCAATGCAGATAATCTCTATCATTTGTTTGTTAGAGCGCATGTACCTCTAGAATGTAAGCTCATTGAGCAGGGCCCTCCACCTCTCTGTTCCTGTACGTCCAATTGTCTGGTTAAAATTACATCTCTGTTAGTCCACCCATTGTACAGCGCTACGGAATGTGATGGCCCTTTATAAATAATAAAATAATAATAATAATGTAGCATAGAAAACTACTACACTACGTATTTTTGTATGTGTTATTTTTATATTCATTTTATATCTGTATCATCATATATTTCTCTTTTCTATTTTGTGCTACTGACCTAAATAAATCTCTTTAATTTTAAAAGGTACAGTTAAAGGAACCATTATTAAAATATGATAAGCGATATTAAACCGTGGACAACAGCACACATTAGAAACAGATTCTCTACCAAGCTACGTTGGATGATGCATAAACATATTATGTGCTAGCTTTGAATCCTTTCGTCAAGATCTCGTTTGTTAATGCACATCCAGATCATTTGAGGGAGGATGTTTTTGTTCGCCTATTTTAATAGTTTTATATAATACTCATATTTTTTGGAATGTGAATCTTTATAACCATGTGGCGGTGAATGCATTGGATGAACAGCTCTCATATTTACCTTTGGGTTTCTTTTGCCAGAATGCATTTTTCTTCTTAGCTAGTTATTCCTATTGTATAATACACCTATCAGTACATGGAAACATTTACACAAACAGCTTGATTAATTACACTTAACATAAGGAAAAGAATAACAGGAAAATATTACCCTTTGCCTCCACCTTTAAAATTCATAGAAGAACAATATGCATAAATAAAAATTTGTGAGGAGGGAATACGTAATGGCATTTTGTTAGATGTGCCCCAATTGAATCGTAAAATAAACGGGAGTACTGTCAGACAAATGTATCCAAAGGTGGATTATTCAGTGCCTATAAAACTCACTGATACATAAAAAGAGACTCACAATAGACAGTTTCCTGGTATCACCCTAGTTAGTTGTTATAGATGTAACTGATGAAAGAGAAACACATATTGGATACAAATAAATAGCACGAAACAATTTATCACAACTCATACTCAGTGAAGTTCTGCATTTTTTTTCTCACCACTTCCCACCCAGGTTCCCTCTAAATTATAGCATGCTCCTCGAGCTGTTTAAAATTCTCACTCAATTACCTTGTCATTCCCTTTATATTTTATCAATAGCTGCTTCTCTCTGTTAATTCTTTTTTAGCCATCACTTCAAAATTTCCCCTGCTACCTCTTGTCTCAAACCCACACTGTATCCTAGATTGTAAGCTCACGGGCCATCTAGCCAAGCACTTTGTATAAAAGAGCTCCAATGGCTAGATATCAGCTTACGGGCAGGGCTCTCTCTACCTTTTGTATTTGTTTGTGTATATTGTACGTTCTCCACTAATTGTACAGCGTTGCGGAATCTGTTGGCGCTTTATAAACTCTAGTACCGGTAATAAATAAATATAATTTAGATGTAACTACAAGAACATAGTCAGTAGATGGCAGTATAGTCACATTATGATAAGTGATTGCACATCATGATTTATTGAAAAGATTAGATGTTACCAATTGGTCTGGATTTTGCTGTTGAGCATTCCCTCTTAACACATCTTCCTTTTTATTAATTTTAAACTACTTGATTAACCCCTTAAGGACCAAACTTCTGGAATAAAAGGGAATCATGACATGTCACACGTGTCATGTGTCCTTAGGGGGTTAAACTCAGATCCAGATAGAGCTCAGTGCTAGAACCAAGCTTGGTACTTTAGAGCATAATCATAACTTCTTATCACTGGTAAAATAACCAAGATAAATCACTTTAATTTTCTGGAGAGCAGCAATACTATTTATTGTAGAGAAAGAATGCATAAATGCCCGAGCTAACAGCAGCAAGTCTGTACAGAAACACTAGGGGGTGTAGCATGTTTAAAATAATAAAAACGTTTGTAGTTTAAATTGCAAGGCGTCAGCTGTTGTTTATGTATGTGCATCAATGTTCTAATACAATTTGTTCCATAAGTATTCATACTACTACTACTTCTGATTATATGCACATTATGTGAGGTTGCCCTTTTAAGTTAAAATACATTTACTTGGCATATTTACTGTTTGATTTATATTCAAATTTTTTTGTCATTATTCCCCACAAACCTTAGATCAGGGGTGTCCAAAAGGTAGATTTCCAAACTACTAAAATTCCAACTTATAAAACAACATGTTTTTTTTGCGCTCAAATGGTACGTTTTTTTTTTTTTCCGGTACCTAGTAAATGGTCCCCCTCACTATTTTTAGGGTGAGAGGGGTAGATAGGGGTTAAATATTTTTTTTGGAAAGGGGTGACTAGGGGTTTGGGGACCCCTAGTCACCTGGGGGGGTTATATTTAGGGCCCCCACCCACCGCTCAGGGGTGGGGGCCAGAGGGGAGGACAACAGGTTCCCCCCCTTATTCTAATTTAGGGCCTCCACCCATTGCTCAGGGGTGGGGGTAGGAGGGAGGACAATAGGACCCCCCCCCCCATTGGTATTTAAGGCCCCACCCTCCACTCAGGGGTGGGGGCTGGGGGAGGACAATTGGTCCCCCTCCCTTATTCTAACTTAGGGCCCCCACCCGCTGCTCAGGGGTGGGGGCCAGGGGGAAGGACAATAGGTCCCCCCCTTATTTTACCCTGAATGGTGGGTGGGGGCCAGGGGGGGGCAAGAGGTTCCCCCTTCAGGTTAGAAGCCCCCACTCGCGCAGCACGGGTGGGGGTCGGGAGGGGGGACACATTTTTTTTTTTTTTTTAACAGTGAGCAGCCACAGACTGCTCACTGTTTACTAGACATGCCCCTACTCGCGGTATAGCGAGTAGGGGCATAATTTACTAATTCTAAGTAATCTTTACTTAGTATTAGTAAATTTGGCTGAAAGACCAATTTACGTCTTTCAGCCTTTTGGTAGATAGCTCCCTAATTCTGAGGGAATTAGGGAGTTATCTACTTATTCATTTGTGTCATTCCATTGACTGGCTAAGTAACTTAAATTTTATATGAATGTGTGTAACTTGATTGTTGTAAGTGTTGCAAATGCTTACAGATGAATCCTGGCTATGTTTGTATACTTTTTATTTAAACTTGTATACAGTGTAACATTCTTCATTCTTCCACTGGTTAGGTATATTAGTACTTCGGCAATACTGTGCTTTGGAACTTCGGCACTTCAGCACTTAGACAGCACTTAGACACTTCGGAAATTCGGCAACTTCGAGACTTCGGCAATTCCGCTATTCGGACATTCGGAATTATCCGAATGTCCGAATTTCCCAAAATTCGTCCGAATTGACTTTTGGAAAGAAACAAATTGCACATGTCTAAAATGTATGCACTGAATAAATTTTAAAAAAATAGCCACATGCATAAAAATATTTAAACATTGAAAAAAAAAAATACAGCCCCCCAAAAAATAGACTAAAAGTGGTGTATTAATTGAAGTAGTAAGAGAATTAGAAAGGAATAAACAACTGAGGAACTTTTTAAAATTAAAAAAGCTGCTTTGATGATGTAGTTATGATTCTGGATTTTCAGATATCTCTGAAGGATGAAATAAATGCTTTAAATAAGCTAGTGTTTTTTGCTGCATGAATAGTGTCTAATGATATTAATAGGGTTATCAGATGTCCTGATTTGACTGGGATTGTCCCTGTTTCAAAACACTGTCCTGGCGTCCAGCACGGTTGGTAATTCTGTCCCGGCTGGTGCTACTGAACCGGAGCCTGCATGCAGTTGGGGACCATCAGGTGTACCTGTGATTGTCAGTATGTTTGTTACACCCCCCACCCTGACCCCGTGCCAGCCTGTGATTCTCCATTTGTTCCCAATTTCAACTCTAAAATTATGGTCTAAATATTAAAGGACCGTTTCCACCCCCTTAAAAACGTAATCTTATTTACATTGTTATAGGGAGTAGGAATGTCAGGCAGTTTCTTATCTTTAGGGTTTAAGCGGTTTAGTCATGTTTTAACCTTGAATTTAGGCTTCCTTTCTCCCTGAACTGCAGTATAAAGAAAGGTTCCCAGGAGAGTTGACGACACTTTCAGCCTAACGATGGATGCCCATTGAGAAAAATAACACATACTATTTCTCTGAATGGGTGCATATTGATAGGTTGAGAGTTTCAGCTAACACTCTCTTAGCCTATCACTAGTTGCTCATCTAACCCTTTCTCATACTGCAGTGCAGAGAGTAAGGAACCTGCAAGGCCAAAGACTCAGTGCTGGAGCAACAATTTTTGGTGTAAACCAACAGTTGCCAAATAGTTAAAGCTCTGAAGGTAAGAAGACATCCAAGCTCTTCTTCTCCCATAACAACTTAGGTGCACTGTGAACACTCTAAGAGATATAGCTGATTGAAGTGGTGTCAGTGGTGATATCACCGAATTAATATTACAATCCCTGGTATGATTTGTTATAGTGCGAAGCGGAAGCATAACTCCTCTTTCATATCAATCCATTGTATTCCTTTAACCCCTTAAGGACCAAACTTCTGGAATAAAAGGGAAATCATGACATGTCACACACCGGAGAAGCATACGAATGCTCTCAAGCATATGAATGCTGTAAGCAGCTGAACAGGAAAAGCATACAATCAGCTTACAATCCTGGCAATCAGCATACAATCCAATTCCCCCAATAACGAGACAACACTTCGTTTTGAGGTCAAGCAGAACTGCCGGTACTGGCACATACAGCCTCTTTTATTCACAATCCACAAACATAGAACTGCCCACAGGGTTTTGAAATACAACCAATCAATCCGTACAATACACACAGATACTCCCACACAAAATCCTCCCCTCTGCCTGGGATATGATTACTGAACACAATGGTTAATATAATTATCACAGGCAGAGAAATACAGTATTATAAAACATATCACAGGGACCCCAAAACATGCAATAACCCCATAAAAGTATATCCTCGGAACCGGGGGATCTGGGTGAACCACATATCCAAAATTCACCCAGATCTGTTCAGTAGTTTGGAAGATACAGTTTAATGCAGATTCCGCAGAACATATACAGGCTATATGAAAAATAATTACTGTATAATGTGTTCCCTGTTGTATAGTTTAAAAATACTGCACGATGTCTTTGTGCACCAAATACCGGCGAGATGGCACCATGTAGAAAAGTCCAAACAGTGTCTGTGAGTTAAAATTGCCGCCATCCATTGTTCTCACCATGTGCTTCATCCATTGTTCTCACCATGTGCCTCTGATACATGAAATGTTGGCCACCCAGTAACTCCACAGTATGTCCCCAGATGGTTCTTAAAGGGCCAGCAGCAGCAAAACACAAATCCATTATGCCCAAATCATGTCTTTAAAGGGCAATATATCCCAGGGGCCATGATCACATGGCAGGAGGCTGGCAATCAGTCTTCTCCAATGCCCAGTGGTGAGGTCGGTTTCGCCACATACCTGAATGCTGCAGACCAGCAAACTGCTAAATTTTACAGCTACAGCTTTTATAGAGGTGGTCACACTTGCTGATAATGATAAGTCTGCTACTTAGCCTCTTAATTCCTATGGAAGCAGTAAGGGTGTACTTAGTGTTTCACACATGGTTACTCCATTTTGGCTTTATTTATGTTAAATAAATCATAAACAAGCCAGGATGCAGGTATAATAGTAAACAAAACATGAACAACAAAATAGATACAACATCCAAAAACGCTAGATAAATAACAAGCAGTATGCACTTAACATAACATTAAAAGCCTACGAGGGTAGGACATGAACCATCAAACCCTAAACGTTCTGGCATTTCTCAAGGGAACCCTTGTGTCCATCCTGTGCATCATGGTTTGTTTAGTTACTATAATGTTTGGACATTAGGGACTGTCTACCTGGTTTGCACCCTGTTTTTACTGGTTCATTGACAGAGTCAATTACAATATTGTTATTGTTAAATAAATTATGACACTGTGTAATGTCTTGTATTGTTGTTCATTTGAGGTTGTATTCACCTAATTTTAATACCTGCTAAGGAACAGATGATTGTTATTATGTCTTGATATGTAGAACCATAGAATTCAAAGATGGTGTACTTTCTTTTTTTTCCCATGACGCATCTGAGTGACTGCCAGTAGAGGTGTTTCTATGCAGTAATGTAAACACTGTTTTTTCTCTCAAAAGACAGTCTTTACAGTGCTAAGACTGCAGGGACATGCTATGGACATCAGAATCACTACATTAACCTGTCTCTTTAAGTTGTTATGGGGTGGGAATCTTACTTTAATGCTGATGTATTGATCTTAATTGCATTAAGGAACACCATTGCCATGAAGTAGTATATGTGTTCTGCCACATTCTCTGGGTAGGTACATATCAAAGTAACCTCCACATGAATGCCAGGACCCAAGGTATACCCAGGAGAACATTGCCCAGCGCATAACACTGCCTCCTCTGGACTGCATTCTTCCCATAGTGTACCCTTTTGCCAT